CCTCCTCCTCCAAATCCTCCTCCTCCTAATCCTCCTCCTCCTAATCCTCCTCCTCCTAATCCTCCTCCTCCTCCTCCTCCTGCTGCTGCTGCTGCTGCTGCTACTACTACTACTACTGCTGCTACTGCTACTACTACTACTACTACTACTACTACTGATGCTGCTACTACGACTACTACTACCACCACCACCACCACTACTACCAACACTACTACTGCCGCTATTACGTTGCTACTATTCTAATTTTCGAGTTTTCGCGTTTTTGAGTGAGACGAAACAAAGCTAGATTTAGTTCGAAAATGCCAAAAATTCGATCATTCGAAAATTTAGAAAATCGACTGTTCAAGTCTTCGCGTTTTTGGGTTGAGACAAAACAAAATCAAGCATTAAACAAATTCGAATTTTCGTGCTCTTCACTTGACACAAAAAACGATTTTCGACTTTTCGGGCTTTTTCGGGTGCCAATCACCGTTGCATGCACGACACACAAAACCACAGCACTAAACCCCTAAACACTAAACCCGAAACTGCTAAACCCCTCAACCCCGAAACCCCTAAACAAACCCCCAAAGCCCTGAGCCCCTAAACCCCTAAACCCCCAAAACCCTAAACGCTAAACCCCTAAGCCTTAGCGGTTTCGGGTTTAGGGCCCTAAGCCCCTAAAGCCCTAAGCAGCTCTTCGCCTCGGGCGCCGGCCCGGTCCAGGACCCGGCTCCTCGGGTGGAGTTTTCTGGGGCCCCAAAGGGGCCCTAAACCGAGGTATGGGGTTTAGGGTTTAGGTGACCTGAACAAAAGCGGTAGGTTCTTATTGTAAACCCTGATATGGATTTTATAGTGTAGGTTCAAGTAGGTTTAGGGCTGGAGGTTTCGGGGCTTGGGTTTAGGTTTTAGGGCTCGGCGTTTCCGGGGTGATTTGAGACCCTAAACCCTACACCACGAAACCCTAAACCCCTAAAAGGTGGCGTCCGAAGCTATCGGGTCCTGTCTTGTGGGCTCCAGGTCCACTCGCACCTCCTGGCCCGTCAAAGGAGGTGATGGTGGGCACCTCGCAAACCCATTGAACTGATAGTAGGCTAGGTAGGTTAGTAGTGTATACTATGGTAGTACATTAAGTATAGTATACTGTTCTGGTAGAGTGTTATAGTACGCTATGGTATGCGATGGTATACCATGACACAGCATACCATGTCGCGAACGAACGAGCTACGACTTCTCCAAAACTGCTCTGGCTTGCCGCTGCGTCGCTGGTCCTCGTCGAGGTCCCCCAGGCGAGACGTCGGCGGGGGTGGAGGTCCCTCGAAGCCGACCCTTGGCAGCCCGTGCTCAAAAACCTGCACAACCGCTACACCCACCCCCCTCACACTCACTATATGGGGCCTTGATAATGAGAATAGGGTTTTCGGGTACCTCAAAGTTAAGGACGTCTGGGGAATAGTCTTGGTGATTATTAAGGCACACTGAGGCTTCTACTACGGCTAATTGGGCGGCTACTCTGCGAGAACCCAGCGCGTATCCAAGCGTCAGGTGCAAGAAGAGGAAGACATCTTCAGCGGCGTGCTGCCGCGGGAAAGGGGAGCTGATGGACACATGCCTGCTAACGTGATGTAGGCTTGCAATGAGCTTTGCAAAGCGCTTCAGTTCTCTGTCGCCTGGCGCGGAGGTGCCGCCTCGATTCCCCGGGCACACGAAGCGTCATCGACGGCAAGGCCTGCAAAGAAAAATGGCCGTATACAACATCTCTTCGACCACACGCTGCTCTCTCACGGGTGGCCTGCTTCTCCTCCGGCACCTGGCGACGGCCAGCCGCCACAAGGAGAATCGGTAAGTCCCTCCGGGCCTGCTGGCCGCATGCACCCTCCCGCACCGTCCGCGCGTAACCGCGCAGGACGGCGTCGATTCCAACCCAGTCCAGCGGCCGAGCGAAGCGCTTTAGCGTGGGCATGCCCATCCGCACCTCCGTGGCTGCGTGAATGCACTCGTTCCTCATGCCTGCCTGACGCCTGCCAAACCCTACACGCCTTGGGCTCGTCGGTCTTGCGCACCTCGGACACAAAACAAGCTCAGCAGCAGGAGGAGTTGCGCGCCACTGCGGCCAAGGCGCGAATCGCAGGTGGGCCTCCTCGATGTCCATCAATGCAGTGCTCGCGTTCACCAGCAACGTCATTTCCTCCAGCTCGTCGTAGCATTCTTCGAAAGACTCCTTGCTAGTCAGTCTTCAACGATGTGGGTCGCTGCAGTCTACAATGCTCTCAGAACGTGATGCATCTTTCCCTCAGCAAAATCCCACCGACCCGGAAGCGAGTCCATCTCTGAGATCCCCGAAGCCACTCGCGTCACCACATCTCATCACCTGTCCGCCAAGCGGCATTGCTGGCAGCGGAGCGCACCGACGGCGGGCGCCTGGAGGGCAGCAGGCTGCTGGGAAGCGCCTTGCCGG